CTGGGTTCGATTCCTCAGCACCACATAAGCAGAAAAAGCCGGAAGTGGCGCTGTGGCTCAAGTGGTAGAGCGCTAGCCTTGAGCTGAGGGCTGAGGGACAGCGCCAGGCCAAGGGTTCAGGCCCCATGGCCGACAAAACAAACAAAACTGTATCCCTGGCCCCTTAGATTCAGCCCAATAGAATGAGACACCTCTTAAAACCCTCGGGGGGGGGTGAGTGTTTCTTTAAAATCACAAAGTTGGGGAGGGGCTAGAGGCATAAAGCCCCCTGGTAGAGCACAGGCAGCCTATGTATGGTATGGAAGAGGTCTTGGGTTCAACCCCAGAACTGCAAAATAACAGTAACAACAACAAGAATATTAGGAATTTATAAGCGGTGACAAATTTGATCTCTTACACCTGCTGTGTGTGTGTGTGTGTGTGTGTGTGTGTGTGTGTGTGTGTGTGTGTGTAGGGGGGGTTCACAAGTCCTAGGATTTGAATTCAGAACCTGGGCGCTGTCCCTAAGGTTTTTTACTCAAGGCTGGCACCCTACCCCTTCAGTCACAGCTCCACTTCTGGCATTTGGTGGTTCATTGGAGATAGTCTCAGACATTCCTGCACGGGATGGCTTTGAATCGCCATCCTCAGATCTGTTTCCTGAGTAGCTAGGATTACAGGCGTGAGCCACAGTGCCTGGCTTACTCTGTAAACCCTCCATGTTCTCCCAGAGCATGAGTCAATTCAGAACTAGGTGAATATCATTGTAAATAATAATAATAATTTGAATAATATTACAGGGGAAACAGGATTAAAATTTTTTTCCGCTTAGGGGGACAAAATCAGGGATTCTAAGGTCATGAACTTGAGAGATGAAAAGAATGTGGTAGGGAATGGAGAGGAATAGGTGCCAGGCTATGCAAAAATGCCTCCCTCGGTTCTCCCATGGTTTATGCAAAGAGAAATGCCATCTATAACCCAGGAGATTGCAAATCAGTGGCTGAGGACCAAATCTGGCTCACAGATGTATTTTAGTTTGTCTGTAGGGCTTCAGGCAAACACATCAATATTTTTAAAAGTTGGGCAGTTTCACATACATTTGAATGTATCTAGATTCCTAGATTTCTAGGAATTGTCTTGAAATAGGGCTGACCCTGGGCTGGCCTTCCTATGCCTCACAAGCTGCCCATGCTACGCAGTGTGTGTGTGTGTGTGTGTGTGTGCGCGTGCACGCACCTGCCCTCAGACTTAAACTTAGGGCCTGAATACTGTTTCTGAGCATTTGTACTTAAGGCAAGTGCTCTACCACTTGAGCCACAGTTCTACTTCGAGCTTTCAATGTTTAACTGGAGACAGGAGTCTCATAGACTTTCCTGCCCAGGCTGGCTTCAAATGTGATTCTCAGATCTCAGCCTTCCTAAGTAACTAGGATTACAGGTGTGAGCCACTGGTCCCTCGCTTCATGCTAAGCATCTTAAGTCTAGGCAGGGCACTCTCTTCTCAGCCAAACTGAGACAAGGGAGCCGACCTTCCAGCTCACACTCCTGGCTCCGAGACCTCTCCGTGCCTCAGCTGCATTTTTTGGATGGGGTGAGCAGTATAACCACACCTCCCAGAACTGCTGAGTTTCACATAAAAGATGCTTAAAACAATGGCTTTCTTCTCTTTATGAGAATATTCATTCTATAAGGTTTTTAGGTTTATTCACCACATCCTCACATAATGTTTAATATTGGCTGAGTGAGCTGGGCACTGGTAGATCACGCCAGAAATCCTAACTACTCCAGGGGCTGAGATCTGAGGATTGTGGTTCAAAGCCAACCTGGACAGGAAAGTCCATGAGACTCTTACCTCCAATGAACCACCAGAAAACAGGAAGTGGCATTATGGCTCAAGTGGTAGAGTTCTCACCTTGAGTGAAAGAGCTCAGGGTCAGTGCCCAGGTCCTGAGTTCATGATCCGATACCAACAAAAAAAAAAAAAAATTAAAAAATTGGCCAGATGAATCCATGAATGAATCACCAGGAGGTATTATTGTCTGCCTGTCTCTTGTCTCAGCCCAACACCCCTTTCTCTCTCCCATCAATCTGCAGGAGTGTTGTCTTTTTTGCCTGTATAGTTCTTACAACCAGACATTCACGGTGCAGCTCTCCCTGCCTTCATTCACTGCCATCAGATGCATGCCACGATCTACGCCACCATTTCCTTAGGACTCTTGGCTCAAGTCCTGACCGTGGAATGTCTGGGCCAAGGCTCGTGTGCATTTGAAGTGCTTGGGTGCTCATGTCTGATTTCTCACTGTGAAGTGCAGCAATTTGTGCTCCACTAATGATATCACACACTCAATCACAGCGGCTGTGCTGACACTTTTAATATTGAGGCAGCTTGATTGGGAGGAAGAGTATCTGGATGTAATCCACACATCTCCAATAAAGAGGGAAGTATAGCATCTTTCTAACCATATTGCTCTTTGTCGTCTTTTTTTTTTTTGGTCTGTCATGGGGCTTGAACTCGGGGCCTGGGCGCTGTCCCTCAGCTCTTCAGATCAAGGCTACTAGCGCTCTACCACTTGAGCCACAGCACCACTTCCGGTTTTCTGAGTGGTTTATTGGAGATAAGAGTCTCACAGAGTTTCCTGCCTGGGCTGGCTTTGAACCGCAATCCTCAGGTCTCAGCCTCCTGAGTAGCAAAGATTACAGGCGTGAGCCACTGATACTCGGCTGTCACACATTTTCGAACAGTCACTATTCCAAGTTCTTCTAATGACTGCAGTAGGCTACTTGATTCTGTAAAGCACTCAGTGCCTAACCTCTTAAGAAAAAAAAATGCATCTAAGACAACTTAAGCCTAGCTACTCAGGAGGCTGAGATCTGAGGATTGCAGTTCAAAGCCATCCAGGCAGGAATGTCCATTGAGACTCTTACCTCCAATCAATCACCAGAAAACTAGAAGTGGCACTGTGGCTCAAAGTGGTAGAGTGCTAGTCTTGAGCTCAGGGACCATACCCAGGCCCAGAGTTCAAGCTCCATGACAGAATAAAAAAGAAAAAAAAAAGCTGTGGAAGCGCCAGTCTGACTCTAATCTGGACTAGTTCAGAATGCAATCTTCACTCAGGTTCAAGGAGGGTCTGTGTGGAACCCGCCGCCCTATCTCCTGTTCCCAAGCCCCATCAGCCCTCACCACTGCCCCCTGGCGGGCAGGGTGCCGGCTCTCAGTGAAAAGAGAATGAGGATAGAGGGAGGGAGAGAGGAGAGCAAGAGAGACGGCGTATGCGTAAGAAAAGTCAGTGTATTTATGGATTGCTTTATAAAAGTTACTATAATACAATGGTACATAGTATTGAATTCACAAAAATATGAACAAATATTTACAGCAAGACACCACAACGGAACACTTCTCTTCAAAACAAGTTACATACGGATGACAGAGTCTATATGCACAAACAACCCTAAAATTTATGTTTTTCTTCTTTGCGGGGAAGGGAAGGGAAGGAAGAAAAAGAAGGAAAAAAAAAAAAAGAAGTAACCCCTCCTCAACATTTCTAAAGCATTTCATTTTCAATGGAAGCAGAGGCTTCGGGAAGGAAGATGGGCCAGCATGTACCTGCACTCCTGCAAACCATTCCCGGGGGAGACAGGGCCCAGCCCGGCACTCCAGTGTCAAGGTCAGCCAAGGTTAACTCGGCCCGCCCCCCCCCCCCGTGGGCGAGTGGGGGAGGTGGCGGCTCATCCCTGCTTGCTCCCTCTTTTTGTGGGGCGTGGGGAAGGACACAGGAGGAGATCGCATGGCACCAGCCCCTTGGGGGCTGCACAAGTAACTTAAATCTGTTGTGTCTACACACTACATCTCCTTGTGTGAAAAATAAATATTTCCTTGGTTGCACAATTAGGCAGAAAAAAAAAATTCACAAAAGGAAGAGAAGGTCGCTGCCGTGTCCAGGTTGCCCCTCCCCCTAGTCTTAAGCACCCGCCTCCTGACCTCCAGACCAGCGGGCAAAGTCTCCACCCCAGGGCCTGCGGTGAAAGAACATTTTTTTTTTTTAAAGAAAACACAACAAAACCACCAATGACCAAAGAAGAGAAAAATAAAATTCTTTGTACAGAATTTACATGATAACAAGCTTGACACAAGCTGAGGTACCAGAGGCTCGGGCCTGGCCCACCCGTGGTGGGCGGTGGACTGGGCAGGCGTGGCCCGTGCCCGCCCACCCACCAGGAGCCTCACTTCTTCATGAGGGCTCCGGACTGGACAGTCATGTTCCAGAAGTATTTACACGCCTGCTCTGCTCTTCTCTGGGGGGAGGGGACAGGGGACTTGTTTTTGTGTCTTTTTTTTTTTTTCTTTTCTTTTTTTGGAAGTACAAAGAAATGAGCAAAAAAAGTCTCCTCACTGTGTTTCCACAAGAAACAATGTTTCCGAGAAAAAGTCCTTTATGGCAGTCTATTTACAGAAGTTGGTTCTGAAACTTCAAAAATCTATTTTTTCCCTTCGTTTTGATTTTATACACATATTAGAAAAAAATTCATAGAAATAAACCCTGAAAAGGATGGGAAGTAAAGGAAAAAGGATAAAATGCCAAAAAAAAAAAAAAAAAAACCTGTCAAAGACTTAGATGTGAGTTTTAAAATCTTTTCCAAGATTTTTTTCCTTTCTCTGGGAGAAATAAATCTGCTCACTCTAGAAATAAATATGCTCTGGTCTCCGGGGCGGGGTGCTGGGGCCGAGGGGGTGCTGCGCAGGAGAAGATCATCAATGACAACAACAAAAAATGCCACGTGCGGAACAAACTGTCAGACAACCCGTAAGGTGGGGCTGGGGACCCGCCTGCCCCGAAGCCCCTCCCACTAGGAGGGCGGGGACAGCAGACACCCTACCCAGCGCCCCACCAGGCTGGGGACCTCACGAGGCTCCCTCATTGCTGGCATCCGAATGAGAAAGTAAACATTGAACCCCAGGATTTGGGGGTTGGACAGCTTGGCCGCAGGGTCAGCCTGGCAGGGCGGCATTGTGGTCCCCGGGGAAGGCTGGAGCTCTCCTCACTGCGCACGCGTGCAGGCAGAGAGGGGCCTTTTGGATACATAGTGTTCTGAGGTCACGGCCAGCCCCGCCCTGTGTCCCCGCACAGGGTCCTGGACCCCGGACTGACACATCCATGGTCACTCGGCAGCTTTGAACCCCCCACAGCCCCGCCCCCCCATTCTGTCTTCACATTTGCGGTTAAAATGTCTCTTCTTAGGACAAGGAAGAAAAGGAAAGAGAAGACAGAAGAACATAGCAGCATTCACGGGTAGGCTGAGGAGAGGACAGTCCAGAGAGGACAGGCGGATGAGGAGAGGAGACAGACGGACAGACAGTTACACACAAAGAAGACAAAGTTTGTGTTGAAGTTAAACAAAAGTCCTGAAAGAGACACAGGTGGAGAGACAGAAGCCCTTTCCCACTGCGGGGCTGGAGCTGCGGGCGGGTCCTGGGGTAGTGTGGGTGCCAGGCCCTGGCATGGCGGCTGGGAAAAGGGACAGCACCTGAAATGGGCAGGAGGTGGGGCCTGGCCGGGGAGAGGGGTCCTCCGGAGCCCCAGGCTGGCGCAGCTGACATCCTTCGCGTTTGGCACCCGGGATCCTAGTTGAGGGTCCCGCGGCAGTTCTCAGAGCCACAGAGGCAAGGAATCTTGACGTCCTCGATGGGGAACTTGTAGTCGTAGGTGATCTCCTCGTTGACGCTGATGTGCTGCTTGGAGTAGATCACAATCTTCTTCTGCGACTCCACTGTGATCACCTTGGCATAGCAGTTGGGCTGCAGGCAGAGGGGGCGGGGCGGGCAGTGAGCAGGGACCCCCACCCCCCTCCTTTCTGATATTCAATAAAAACCATGATAATGGTAACCGTTATATCTCAAAACTTATTCTACGTTTCGATTCCTAGTCCAGGCATCATTTCTGAGCTATAGACTAAGGGGTCAAAACACATGATCGCTGCCTATTTCGGTCAGTAAAGATTTGGGCACTTAGCCATTTCCACTTTCCCATTCATTTCCATCTCCTCTGGGTTGTTTTTTTGAGGGCTGGTCCTGGGGTTTGAACTCCAGGCCTGGGTACTGTCCCTGAGCCTCTCTGTGCTCAAGGCAAGCCTTCTACCACTTGAGCCACAGTACCACTTCTGGCTTTTTTTTTTTTGGTCGGTCATGGGGCTTAAACTCTGGGCCTGAGCGCTGTCCCTTAGCTCTTCAGCTCAAGGTGAGCGCTCTACCACTTGAGCTACAGTGCCACTTCTAGTTTTCTGGTGGTTCATTGAAGATAAGAGTTTCATGAGGGGGGCTGGGAAGGTGGCTCAGTGGTAGAGTGCTTGCCTTGCATGCCTGAGGCCCTGGGTTTGATTCCTCAGCACCACATAAACAAAAAGAAAAAAGCCGGAAGTGGCACTATGGCTCAAGTGGTAGAGCACTAGCCTTGAGCTGAGGGACAGCACCCAGGCCCAGAGTTCAGGCCCCACGACCGGACCCCCCCCCCCAAAAAAAAAAGAGTTTCATGGACTTTCCTGCCCGGGCTGGCTTTGAACATCAATCCTCAGATCTCAACCTCCTGAGTAGCTAGGATTACAGGCGTGAGCCACAGGCACTCGGCTTTCTGGCTTTTTCTGTATGTGGTACCCAGGAATGGAACCCAGGGCTTCATGCATGCTAGGCAAGCACTCTACCACTGAGCCACCTTCCCAGCCCCTCTGGGGCTGCTTTTGCTATAAGGGTGAAGTTAGTAACTTTGGAGGTCTGGAGTTACCTGTGCTCCTTTAGAAGAGAGGTCCAGCATCCCTGCTCAAGACCCAGAATCCACCACCCGCTGCACACCCGCCTGGGGAGTCATGAGTCATTATGCTCTGGGCAGAGGCTGCAGCCCTGCTGCGCCCCGCACTCACGTTGCAGCTGTGGTTGATGAACCGCGCAAAGTTGCCGCACTTGGTGGCATCGATGATGGTGTCGTGGTCCACCCGGAACATGTAGCTGCTGCCGATGCCCTCGTCCTCATAGCGCTTCTCCCGCATGTCCGCGATCACCTGGCCACAGGAGGATGTGAGCCAGGGCCGGACCCGAGATGCCCGGCCCCGCCCCGGGCCCCTGGGCAGCGCCTAACCTGTCGGATGTTCTGGCCCACATACTCGATGACCATCTCGTCGGCTGCAATGGGCTCCATGGCAAACAGGCCCCAGTCATGAATGTGGCTCTTGCAGAACTTGAGCTTTTTCTTCCGGAACTGGGGGGAGGGAGGGAAGGAAGGAAGGGGTGACACCGGCCTCAGGTCCAGCGTCCCCCACAACTGTCCCAGGGCAGGCTGTTGGGGTCCTCACCTTGAGCTGGTTGAACTTGAGCAGGTCACTGTCACAGCTGCCAGTGAAGGAGGACAGCAAGCGGCGCTGCTCCGACCGGCGCTCGGAGCCCGCGCGGGTGGAGGCGTGTGGCTGCGCAGGGATGCTCATGCCCTGCCCGGCACGGGACACGGGGTCAGACAGGCACAGGGGACGGGGTCAGAGGGGGACAGGGGACGGGGTCAGACGGGCACAGGGGATGGGGTCAGACGGGCACAGGGGACGGGGTCAGAGGGGGACAGAGGACAAGGTCAAAAAGGGAGATAGGACAAGGTCAGACAGAGAAAGAACAGAGTCAGACAGGGACAGAGGACAAGGTCAGACAGGGACCGAAGACACAAGGTCATACAGGGAGACAGAACAAGATCAGACAGAGACAGGATAAGGTCAGACAGGGACAGAAGGTGGGGCCAAACAGGGACAGAGGACAAGGTCACACACAGAGAGAACAGGGTCAGACAGGGACAGATGGGGTCAGAGAGGGACACAGATGACAAGGTCAGACAAGGTCAGGCTCAGAGGCCTGACTCCCCAGCCCCAGGCTCTCCCTGGCTGCCCCGAGGGGGAGGGGCCATGTGTTCAGGCTGCAGGCAGGGGAGGCCTCCAGCCCCTCATCTCCCCAACACAGCCCAGCCCCGGGGCCCATGGCACTTCCTGAATCTTTTCAAGCTGCTTCCTTCATGGCCACTGAAGTCCACCCCACCTTCAGTTCTGTCCTGGAACTGCAGGACTGCACCCCAATTCCATTTGCACCCCTGAACTCTGCACAGCAGCCACTGGGGGAGAAGGGGGCCTCAAAAGCCACAGGCCAAAGCCCCTGCCCCACATTTTCTCTGAAGACCCTCCCTCGGTTTGCCATCAAAAATATCAAATCCAGCATCACCCAATGAACTACCCCCAAACCGGGGGTGGAGCTGTGGCTCAAAGTGAGATGGCATTAGGCTTGAGCAAAAGAGCTCGGGCCCAGCACCCAGGCTCTAAGTCCAAACCCCACGGTGGAAAGAGAATAAATTAAACAAAAATAAAAATTCAAAAAAGGAAGGCACGAACAGGCCCATCCATCCCTATAATCCTGCAATCCTAGCTTCCAGGAGGCTGAAATCTGAGGACCGCAGTTCAAAGCCATCCCAGGGAATCAAATCTGGAGTCTTCTCTAATTGACCAGCAAAAATCCTGAAGTGGAGCTGTGGCCCAGGCGGTGGAGCGCCAGCCTTGGGAGAAAAAGCCCAGCAGGAGCCTGACTTTTCGAGCCCCAGTCCTGGCGGGCACCAGCACGCACGCGTGCACGCGCCCAGGCGCGGCGGCCGCTCTCCCGCCCCTCGGGGCGGCGCGTACCTGCGTGTCGGCGGGCGGCTCGTCGGTGCTGGCGCGGCTGCTGTTGAGGTACCTGAGCTTGTCCTTCTTGTCGATGGTGTAGAAGCCCTCGCTGCGCGCGCAGCCCGTCACGTGCTCGCGGATGCCATCGTCGCGCTTCTTCTTCTTGGCTGAAGAGAGGCTGGTGGGTGGGTGGAGGTCAAGGGCCACACGAGGTTCTCGGACCGCCGCTGCTAGACCCGGGGGCCCTTGGCCGGTCTCCGGCCCACAGGCGTCCCCCCCGCCCCACAACCGGCCTCCGGCCCACAGGCCCCCCCCACAGGCCGGCCTCCGGCCCACAGGCCTC